ACACACACACACACACACACACACACACACACACACACACACACACACCTAGCACCTTTCAGGTTAGCTTCCTACAACTTCCTCTGCAAGACTCACAGCGCGGAAGGATTAGAGAGTTCCATTAGTTTCCAGCCACAGATTCTGTGTTACTCAGAGAATATATATATATATGGCTATCAGAACAATTTCTGTGTCGTCCTACACAGTTTATAGACTCATTTGACAGTGAAACCCTTAGGAGCAAACACAATATGGTCCGATACAAATCACACTGAGAAGACACTCACACAGACTCAAGACTAAATGTAATCCTAACTGATGCTATTTGTCCACGAGTGGTTTCTGTGATCCCTTTCACCCATTTCATACGGTAGCAGTCACGTACGCACAACAAAATCCTCCCACATCCAAAATGAACCAGTTGAGCTTCAGTTTCTGAGTTGAGTTTGATAAGTGCCGAGCTAATTTCATGGAAGGAGGTGGATCTGAAGGCTGGAGGTCATGAGATTCTAGGCACCAGTGTCTTGAAGCTGGGCCTTTATGGAGAATGTCCTCTCTTTCCTTGGCTCAGCTGAAAACTCAGTTCACTTGGAGGGGAGAAGGGGCGACAAGTAGAGGGTGGGAATTGATAGGGAAGTTTTTTCCTCTTGTCCATTACTTGCTACACAGGATTCAAGCGAAGATCTCCAAAGGGAATCTCTGTAGGTGTTTCTGGAGTGATACTTTTAAGAATACGCTGTTAAGAAGAAAATGTACGGTTTTTTTAAAGCCTTTTAATATAACAAACATCACAGTATTAAAATACAGAATAGACTCTTTTTTTAAAAAGTTTTATTGCACTTCACAGATAATTCTATTTTTTTTATAAATTGTAAGTTTGTGGCAACCCTGCATCAAGCAAGCCTACTGGTGCCATTTTTCTTTTTTTTTCCCAATTTTTAAATATTTTATTTAAAGTTTTGAGTTCCAAATTCTATCCTTCCTTCCCTCCTCTCCCCACTCCCTGAGACAGAAAGCAATCAGATATAGGTTATACATGTGCAATTGTGTAAAACATTTCTATATTAGTAATTTTGTACAAATAGACTTGAATAAAAAAAAGAATAAGTGAAAAATAGCATGCTTCAGAATGTATTCAATCAATATCACTTCTTTCTCTGGAGGCAGATAGTATGCTTCATGATAAGTCCTTTGGGATTGACTTGGATCATTGTATTGTGGAGAATAGCTAAGTCATTCACAGTTCTTCATTAAACAGTATTGCTGTTACTATGTACAACGTTCTCCTGGTTCTGATAGAACTCTTTTAAATGGCACATAAGGCCTCATTTCTAAAATATATAGAGAACTAAGTCAAATTTATAAGAATACAAGTCATTCCCCAACTGATAAATGGTCAAAGGATATGAACAGCCAGTTCTCAGATGAAGAAATTAAAGCCATCAATGGTCATATGAAAAAATGATCTAAATCACTATTGATTAGAGAAATGCAAATCAAAACAACTCTGAGTTACCACATCGCACCTGTCAGACTGGCCAACATGACGCAACAAGACAATGATAAATGTTGGAGAAGATGTGGGAAAATTGGAACACTAATGCATTGTTGGTGCAGTTGTGAAATGATCCAACCATTTTGGAGAGCAATTTGGAACTATGCCCAAAGGGCTATAAAAATGTGCATACTCTTTGACCCATCAATAGCACTTTTAGGGCTATATTCCAAAGAGATCATAAAAATGGGAAAAGGATGTACACACGTACACATGTACAAAAATGTTTATAGCAGCTCTTTTTATGGTGGCAAAGAATTGGAAATTGAGGGGATGCCCATCAGTTAGGGAATGGCTGAACAAGTTGTGGTATATGAATGTAATGGAATACTATTGTGCTGTAAGAAATGATGAGCAAGCAGACTTCAGAAAAACCTGAAAAGACTTGTATTGACTGATGCTGAGTGAAGTGGGCAGAACCAGGAGAACATTGTACACAGTAACAGCCATGTTGTGTGATGACTAACTTTGATAGACTTAGCCCTTCTCAGCAATGCAAGGATCTAAGACATCTCCAAAAGTCTCATGATGGAAAATGCCATCCACATCCAAAGAAAGAACTATGGAGTTTGAATGCAGATCGAAGCATACTATTTGCTATTTTTTCCCTTCTGTTTTGTTTTGTTTTCTCTTTCTTGTGGTTCCTCCTATTGGTTCTAATTCTTCCTTACAATATCACTAACTTGAAAATATGTTTAATAGGAATGTATATGTAGAGCTTATATCAGATTGCATGCCATCTTGGGGAAGAAGGTGGGGAGAGAGGAGGAGAAAAACTTAAAACTCAAAAGCTTATGGAAGTGATTATTGATAACTCAAAATGAATTAATAAAAAAATTAATTAAAAAATAAATGGCACTTAAACCCCAAGTAAGCTGTGATATTCTTTGCAGTTTGAGAGTAATTTCCAGTTTATGGTTTTGGAGTCACTAGTGTTCCATAGTGGCAAAGAAGCCATCTCCCAAGCAGGGTTAAGATAGCACTTGGGGGGCAGTTAGGTGGCGCAGTGGATAGAGCACTGGCCCTGAAGTTAGGAGGACCTGAGTTCAAATACGGCCTCAGACCAAACACTTGACACTTTCTAGCTGTGTGACCCTAGGCAAGTCACTTAACCCCAATTGCAAAAAAAAAAAAAAAAAGATAGCACTTGGGACCCCCAAGCATAAGGAAATAAGCAATAGAGGTAAGTATAATAATAAGGAAAGTCAAGATGAATAATAAAATGCTTTAGTTCAAATGCAGAAGTTCCAAATAAGTAACTTTTACCGCAATGAAAATTAAATTCAGAGGGATTAAATCACTTCTAAATCCTAATTCCAATGCCTCTAATTCACCTCATGCTCATGTAGTCATCACAGAGAAAATGTTAAGACTCTGCACCCTAGAAGTAGCTAGGATGTCCACTGGAGCTGTAAGGACTGATTTAAACCCTACTTGGGTCTGTGAATGGAAAATAGAAAAACCAATCTTTAAGCTCAGCATCAGTGCACAAGAGAGGAAAAAAAGCAATGGGCTTAATAAAATTACTTAAGTAAAATCTTCCTTGACCAAGAGAGTGTGCATCTCTAGTAGACAGAGCTAAATCTGAAAGCATTTTTCATTGCATTGATTTTAGTCAATAAACATTTATTTAGACAACCTCTGTTATGTGTCCTTGTCTACTTTTTGGATTGGAAAAACATGCAGGATGTATGATGATTTCTTACCACCTACCTTCCTGTGAACAGTGAATGCCTTAACCAGTGCAAGATTCAGGACAATTCTGTGCCTGCTTGGTCCTCCCCATCTAAAGTTCCTATGAGTTTTTCTTCCTTGTAGAGGCAAGTACCCCAGGGAGCTGGAAAAGCTCCATCCTCAGTAAACACAGTTCATAAAATTGTGTTCTTTGTGATTCAAATGTCTCTTGTATTATGTTCCTAGATCATACAGAGGAAGTCCAAAAAGAGAGTACAGTGGCTGGCTGAGGTTAAAACCTTGCACTCTGAGCTGACCAGCTCCTAGGACCTGTGTCCCAGCAGAAGCAGGGAATTCCTTAATAGATGCCCAGTGGCATCCAATTTTTCCTTTGGGTAAAGATCTAAATCTAGAAGTGTTTGTAAACAGACATGCCTCTTATTCATTTAAAGCTGGTAACCAAACACTCTAACTGGTCTTAAGTGGTACAGTGGTATATATGAGAAGAGGTGGTTACTAAAGAATGTGTGTGGGGGCTAAGGCAACCCTAGATTAAATTATGAAGTAGGGTGAGGTTACGATCTGTAGCACACCCTCCTTTTACTCCCCAAACACCCAGCATTCAGCCCTGTTGCAGTAGCCCACAGTGGATTGCCAAAGTCTTTTCAGTGTCATTTTCCAAATCTGGAGTCAGATAGCTTGGGTTCAGAACTCAACTCTGCCACTCAGCTTCATGAGCTCAGGCAAGTTTCCTCTTCGGTCATCATTTTTCTCATCTATGAGGAAGTAGGGCTAGAGATGGTCTCATCACTTCCAGATCTATGATCTATGACTTCAGGGGCCATCTAATTCCACCCATATCCAAGAATCCTCTCTACAACATAATTGACAAGTGGGGAGGGAGAGAATAAGCATTTATTAAGTGCTTACTGTGTGCTAAGCACTTTACAATATCTCACTTGATCCTCACAACAACCCTCTTAGGCAGGAGCTATTATCCTCATTTTACACTTAAGGAAAGTGAGGGAAACAAGTGACTTGCTCGGTGTCTCATGGGAAGTATCTGAGATCGAATTTGAACTCTCATTTTTCTGGCTCCAGTTCTATCCACTGCACCACCTAGCTGCCCATATAACAAGTGGTCATCAACCTTGGATTGGAGACCTCCGGTGAGGAGGCACTGTCTGCTGAGGTAGCCTCTTCCACTTTTAGCTAGCTCTCAATATTAGGTTTTACCTGCATTAATACTATCATATTCCCTCCCCCTCTCTAGGAAAAAAAATCTCCCTCGCAAGTTCCCATTTTCTGGCAACAGCATCACCATGCTCCCGGTCACCCAAGTGAAAATGTTTCCAGATGTTTAACTTCAGTCATCAGATCACCACTAGCCCCATATGCTTTAATATAAATATAATATAAAAACCATCCTAAAAAGGCCTTTCATCCTTCACCATTAATATAGCTGCTATATTATTTAATTCATTGTTTAATCATTCATTCCCTTCAATAGTGACTACCATAATGCTTCTGATGGAAAAGTCTCTGAAATTCTGTTTTCACTAAGAAAATAATAGCTGATTAATATCTAATAATAGATACTACACAAATAGTTTGCCTAAGAGTTAATATGCAAAGGCCAAATGCTTTTAAAAGGTGAAGTCCAAAAGAGATTTAGTCATAAAGTCTATGTTAACAAGTAGTACCCAAGGGATTTTTGTTGTTCAGTCATTCTAGTCATGTCTGACTCTTTGTGACCCTATTTGGGGTTTTCTTGGCAAAAATACTAGAGTAGTTTGCATTTCCTTCTCCAGCTCATTTTACAGATGAGGGACTGAGGCCAACGGGGTTAAGTGATTTGCCCAAGGTCCCATCGCTAGTAAGTGTCAGAGGCTGGATAAAGACTCGTGAAGATGAGTCCCTATCCACTGCGCTACCTAACTACTCTACCAAAAGGATACATTTTCTCAAGTAAAATCTGGTCACATGTTTCTCTCTATGAGATAGATATTCTCCCTCTGGAACATTTGCCACAGATGATGGTTGCCCTCCAGAAGCACTATCCTTATCACATTGTAGAATTTGCCCCTAGTTGTTACTACATGCATGCAAAAAAAAAACAAACCCCAGAGGTTTGATAAACGTTTACGTTTATGAATGGCCACCTTGATGCTACTCATGAGTGGGTCCAAGATCCCATTGGCTTACCAATGTGATAGTTCTTATAGCCCTAATGGAAGTGGAGGGGGAAGAAATCTTACAAATGTTCTTGTCTATTAGGAATACATGAAAGGAGTTAAGCCATGACACTGGATAGCTGAAGGATTAACTTTTAGTGTATCTCTTTTGCTCAAGAAAGAATTTTTCTTTAATATGTGAAAGAATACTGCATTTGGAGTCTGACCTTGCTCTGCCACTTACTATCTGTGTAAACTTAGACAAGTCACTATAGACCTCAGTTTCCTCATCTGTAAAATGAAGGAGTTGGACCAGAATTAGATCATTCAACAAGCATTTATCAAGTGTGTATTCTGTGCTGGGCACTGATGATACAAATACACAAGTGAGACAGTCCTTGCCCTCAAGAGCTTACATTTTACTGGCTGACCTCCAGGGCCCCTTGGAGACAAGTTCTAAATCTATAATCCTATGAACTTTAATTCATTTTGGCTCTGTCCATTCTTTTCTATTCTAATTCACTTTGGCTCTTAAATAGATCACTGACTTTAATACACTGACTTTCACAAATAACAATGATGATGATGCTGTGGCTGATATTTATATAGTGATATGAGGATTGTGGAATTCTTGATACAAATCCTCACATGATCCTCAACAGCGCTGTGAGGTAGGGAGAGCAAATGTTATCCCCATTTTATAGATTAGAAAACTGAGACTCAAAAAGTTTAAATAACATGCCCAAAGTCACACAGATGAAGGCAAGCCTCCTATCAGAACTTTTGGTGGTTTAACTAGAGGTGTGAATAGATTTATGCTGGTCTATTCTGCAAGTATTATCTGGCACCACACTGGTGACCAGCAATGGCACTCCCCTTCAAGACAGATGACTGTAATTATATTAGAGGCTCAGAGTATGTCCAAGGAATAGACCGATGTTAACTGACTCCTAAACGGTACTAACCCATGACCTTTTTCTCAGTCCCTTATTGTTCTATCTACTAGAGCCACCTACTAGCAGACCTTGCCAACGATAGATGATCTAAATGAATCACACTATTAATTCACTGTTCTCTGAACAGTAACAATGTATTGGAAATCACCTCTCTTTTCCTAAGCCTTTAGCCAACACAGCGGCATCCCTGAGGGATGATCTTTTGAATGGAGTTGGTTATGTGCGTTTCTGATTTGCATCTGGGTGAAGGATAACTGTAGCTTCCACAATCTTGGCTCAGATACTGTTACACTCTGTGATCTGGGAAGATGATTGTGCTTCTTTGTTTGGAGAGGGAGGGAGGCTAGGCCATTCCCCAACTTGGTTATGTGTAAACCAGAATTTTTGTGTCATTATACTTTGGATGTCCCAGATCAAGTGTCCCTACTCAATTCCAATCTGAAAGCAGGACAGCAATCTGATTAATTTGGGACCATGTAGATAGGCCAAAAGAGATTTTCTACTCTGTCCCCAAATCACTAGATTGAACTAGGGTGCCCTGAATTTAGTAGTTAGGCTTAACAAGATCTTAAAAAACATTTTAATGGTATAGCAACGCATACTGTTCAATTCTTTTTGGTGAATTTAATGTCATTTGCCCATTTCCCTTAAAAAGACAATGGCACAAGGACTGTTTCCTTCCTGACCATCCCTTCCCAGAACATAAGAGAAGTGATACCTCTTTGAATGTCCCTGGAGTGATGATCAACCGATAAATTATATAGGCAGGAATGCAGATGAAGGAAGAAGTCCCGATGCAGTATCCCAGGAGGACGGTCCAGCGAGGGTAATTGTAATTGAAGAGCCGCAGCTCTGGAGGGCTGCTCAGAAAGCTGCAGATGATGAACTAGAAGAAAGATGCCAAGAATCATGCTCAGTGGGGAGATCACAGATATGTCAGAAAACTTGGGCATAAGGAATGCAGGGTAGGTAAACTGAGTGCTCTATGGTGGCAGGAAAGGAAGGCCTCCAAGCATCCCCATACAAGGAACTCAAAGAAGGGCGTGTATCAAGATGGGCAGCCATGGAGGGCCTGCAACCTGCATCAGTGGAGGAATTATGGGTATTCTACTGGAATATCTGGGGCTTTGAGAGGGAACTTTTCAGACAAACTCCAAAGAAGCACTGAACCCCAGGCAGAACTCTGAGACTCAGAAGTCACCAGTTTAGCTTGATACCCATCATTAGAGACTTCAGTTTTCCTAAAGTATGGTCAAATTCTCATGCAAAATTCACCCTTGGCTAATATAATATATATAATTTAATATAATATGATATGATATGATATAAAGTCCACTTTTCCTTTAGGTTCTTTGCTTCCAAGAAAAATAAATAAAATCTCTTCTCCACTTTCCCACTCCACCCCACCATATACAGATCTCATCTGTTTTTACAGTTTGGGGGGTTTTTAAGATCCTTGATAGCAAGAGATGCTTTGCTTTAATTCCATTAGAATCCTTGGATTGTGAAAAGTACATTTAATAAGTGATTATTGAGATGACAAACAGCTCTTGAAACACTTCAACGGTCATAAAGAAGATAAGCGATTTGTGGTATGTGCAGTTCCTCCGCAGAGTTTTCATTTTTTGTGAATATTAGCATCAGCTTAACTTCTCTGGTTTTCTGGAGGACAATGACTTGACCATACCTGGAGCCTGAATAGCTGGGAAGTATTTCTCAGCCACTATGGGATATTTTCCTCTTCCTAGGCTTTAAATTTTGCCTGAATGAGAAATAGCGGAGCATGGTGGATAGATAATTAACTTGAAGCCAGGAAGATCTGTATTCAAGTCTGGCACATACTGGCTATGTGCCCCTGGACAAATCATTGACATCCTAGTATTCTACAACTTGTTAAGATTCCAAAGTAGAGAGAAGGTACCAATGTGCATTGATACAGTATGTCTTTAGGAGTTCTTTTTTTACCAGTGAAATCACAGATTAAGTCCCTATCCCTATCCCCTATAAAATCAGCATAAAAATGTAAAAATTTCATTTTATCTCAGATAAAAATCATACTATCAATTACATAGTAATTGGGAGTTTTGAAGCCATCGTTTATTGTTTTTGCCATTGTTCAATTGTGTCTAATTCCTTGTGATTCCATTTGGGGTTTTCTTGGCAAAGATAGTGGAGTGGTTTGCCATTTTCTTCTCCAGATCATTTTACAGATGAAGAAACTGAGCAAATAGGGTTATGTGACTTGCCCAAGATCACACAGCTAGTAAGAGTCTGAGGCCAGATTTGGTCTTCCTCACTCCAGGCACAGTGGCCTATCCACTGCAGCCCCAAAGTCTTTCTAGAATATTAATCACTTCTTGGCTCCACAATTTAAATTCAGAAAAAAACATTGGAGATGATGTAGGACCCACTAGGAAAAATAAAAGGAACTGGTATAATTTGATCCAGAGAGAACACAAGTAACCTCTTGAGGCTACAAGGTGATGGCCTTTTGATAAACTTTTCTAATTTCACTGACAGCAGAACAAGAAGAAATCATAATCATAATAATTAACATTAACTCAAGCCAGAAGAATTAGGTTAGATATTAGGAGGAATTGACTGACAAAGAAGATTGTGAGCCCCTGAAATCCTTCCTAAGAGAGGTTATGGGACATCCTTCTACGGAGTTCTTTTCAAAGCAGGGTAGATTCTCATCTGCCTGGGATGCTTGGAGTCCCATCCTGCTTCATGACAAAAACAGTGAATCAGATTAACTCTCCAGGTTCTTTCTAAACCCTCTGGCTTCATATTTCTCTCTACCCAGTTTCTACCCATTCTCTTTATCCCTCTGTTCTATCCTCAGGTTCAGTGGTCCATGATCCTTACTGTGGGGAGTGGGGGAGAGTGTTCTTTGCTCTCTACTCTGTGCTTTCAGCAAGGAAAACTCTACCATGGAGCATCCCTTGAATGAATGACTCTCTGCCATGGGTCCTCATAACCCAAGAAATTACAGGAGGAAAAAGCAGCCTAATGCAATTTTCACTTGAAAATTCAGTGAAATATTTGACCCAGAAAATTTCCACAGTGAACCCACCAACACCCAGTTGATGAGTTTTCTTATTTTAGTTTGGTTTCCAGAGAGAGTGTAAATATCATTTTTGCCTAGTAACCACCATGCTGAAGCCTTATTGGCCTTAATTTAATTTTATTTTATTATTTCATGCTCATAAAGAAGACAGTAATGTAAATTATTTGTGTGGTTAAACATCTATTTATAGTCTTTTTTTTCCCTTTGTCTTCAGGTAATAAAATGGGAAATGACTAAACAGATATTAATCTTCCCAGCAGTGTTATCTGGAGTTCAGGGGGAAGCTTTCAAAGTGGAAACTAGGCTGGGGGTCATATGCCACCATGCTGGCTTCCTCTCATCTTCACTTGGCACAGATGGCTTTGAGAGAGATTCATATGGGAACCAGGAGACAAGACTTTGGTTAAGAGTCATTGCCACCCTTCCCCATTTAATGTCAGGTACCTGGACCCTGAGGGCCCTAGTGCCAGTGAGTACAGAGCTCTTACCCTATTCTGTTCTACTCATTCTAGTTTTTCAGATAATCTGCTTTTTGTTCCAGTGTTCCCAAGACTCTTACATGTTCTCTTTGCTGTTTAGCTTCAGTGTAAAAATAGGGAGCTGGTGAGGAGCAATAGTTTCAGTCAGCTACCAGTTGTTTACCCAAGGAGGCCATAAAAAAGTCCGGAGTGGTGATCTGTTAAATAACCCAGAGGTGGTTAAACGGATTTGCCTCTTGTTAATTGGACACTTTACCGCTTACCTTTAGAGCCTGTAAGAACATCATAGGAATTATGCCAATCACTTTCCAACCTATTCTTCCCCAACCCAAGTCTGCCCACCAGCCAAGAGTTACTTGTTGCTATGGTGAATTCATAGGTTCATTATTATGGATACTCCACCAATGCAGATCACCACCTTTCCACAGTGTCTCATCCAGTGTAATTCTCATCCCCGTGTTTTTATCAGTCCTCTTAACGAGCCACCCAATGGGCTGTGGACCTTCCTCTGTTGTTGCTGTCGTTATTTTTGTTGTTTGGGTACCAATGTAATGATCATGCTGCCCATCTGTTATCTCTCTCACTATATGACCAGCCCACTTCTTTTCTGGTCATACTTGACCTTGATGCTGTTGTTGTTCAGTCACTTTTCAAGTTGTATCTGACTCTTCGTGATCCCATTTGGGGCTTTCTTGGCAAAGATACTGGAATAGTTTGCCATTTCCTTCTCCATTTTATTTTTACAGATGAGGAAACTGAGGCAAATAGGGTTAAGTGACTTGCCCAGGGTCATACAAGTAGTGTCTGAGGCTGGATTTGAACTCAGGAATATGAGTCTTCTTGACTCCAGGCCTAACACTCTATCCACTGTGCCATCTAGCTGTCCCTGACCTTGATGTATTTTACTACATTTTAAAATAAATAAGTCATCACTGGGAATCTTTATGCCCACTAAGAGTGTTTCTGTGTCCCTTTTGGTTTACTTGTCACTTCAGTTCTTCTAAGACTGTGGCATACCATGATTCATGGCCATATAATGTCACCAAGTATTAAATGTCACCAAGGTATTAAAGAGATAGGCTTTTGTGGCAGTGACGTACTTGGGGTCCTTGAAAAGGCTGCACAGTTTTCCAAATATTATGCAGCCTACTGTTTTCTTCCTACTTAGTTCTGATCCAGATCATTGTTTACCTACTTCACCTATTCAAAAGTTACATTATGATGGACTAGTTCAATCAATCAATCAATAAACATTTATTAAGTGCGCACTAGCAAAAGACAATCCCCTGCCCTTGTCAAGGAGCTTACAATCTAATAGGATTGTAAGGAGACAACATACAAACAAATATATGCAACACAAGCTATATGCAGGATAAATAGGAAATAATTAACAGAAGGAAGGCACCAGAGTTAAAAGGGGTTGAGAAAACCTTCCTATAGAAGTGAGATTTTAGTTGGGACTTAAAGGCAGCCAGGGAGGTCAAGAGATGGAGCAGAGGATGGAGAGTGTTCCAGACATGGGGGACAGCCAAAGAGAATGCCCAGAGCGGAGAAATGGAGGGTCTTGTTTATGGAAAAGCCAGGAGGCCCATGCCACTGGATGGAAGGGAACATGGCAGAGAGTAAGATGTAAGAAGACTGGAAAGGGAGCAAGGAAGGAGGAGGAGGAGGAGGAGGAGAGAGAGAGAGAGAGAGAGTCCTGAAAACCTAGAGAGAAGAGGGTATATCAAGGAGCAGAGAGTGATCAACAGTGTCAACGGCTGCAGAGAGGTCAAAGAGAATGAGCATTGAGAAAAAGCCATTGGATTTGACAACTAAGAGATCACTGATAACTCTGGAGAGAACATTTTGGTGGAATGATAAGGTCAGAAGCTAGAATCATGAGGGGTTAAGAAGACAGTTAGGACAGGGAGGTGATGCCATAGTGCACAGAGTACTGGGCCTGGAATCAGGAAGACTTAAGTTCAAATCTGGCCTCAGACACTAGCTTTGTGACCCTGGGCAAGTCACTTAACCCTGTTTGTCTCAGTTTCATCATCTGCCGAAGAAGGAAATGGCAGACCACTCTAGTATCTCTGCCAAGAAAACCCGAGAGTCGGATGTGACTGAAACAACTGAACAACCAGAAGAGAGCGGGAGGAGAGAAAGTAGATACCTTTGCATTTTAATCTCCAACTTCCTTTGGGGAAAAGAGTGGCAATGTAGATACCTTTTTGAGGAATTTAACTCCAAAGGTTAGAAGAGATAGGTCAATAGTTAGCAGGGATGGAAGGATCAAATGAGGGATTTTTCAGGATGGAGGAGACATGGATATGTTTGTAGGCAGCAGGAAATGAGCCTGTAGACAAAGAAAGATTGAAAATAAATGAAAGAGTGAGGATGACAGAGGAGTCAATCTGTTGGAGGAGACAGGATAGAATGAGATCACTTGAACAAGTTGAGGGGTTAGCCCTGAGAGGAAGTAAGGGCCACTTCATCATGTGAGACAGGAGTGGAGGAGAGAGTAGCAGAAAACACCTGAATTATAGGAGATGAGGGAGAGAGAAGTGGAGAGGACTCACGGTGAACGGCCTCGATTTTTTGTGTAAAATATGAGGGAAGGCTCTCAGCTGAGAGGTGAGGAGGCATGGGAAGTTGGAGGAGGGATGAAAAGTTTTGGAAGAGCTGCTATGGGGAGTGGGAGAGTGAGTTGATAAGGGAGGTATAGTAGGGTTGCCAAGCAGCAGTGAGGGCCCGGTTGAAGTTATGCAACATAAATTTGTATTGGACCCAATCGAAATGGTTTTGAGCCAAGTGATGCAAGAACTGGCTGGGTGTAAAGGATGATATGATATGGGGGCTGGGATTGAAGAGAGGACAGAGTGGAGTTCAACTGGCTTACCAAGGGGTCAAGATGGGGAGAAGAGAAGGGAATCGCTAGTGCAATAGGGGAGATGGACTTGGGAAAGAATTGAGGGGTCATGGGAATGGAGGTCACAATGAGGATGAAGAGTGGAAGGCAAAGGGAGGAGTAGAAAGTCAATAGATTATGATCACATCAGGGGATTTTGGAATTCTTGAACATAGAGGTGGTATATTTGGGTGATGGCAAAATCAAAGGTATCGCTATCTTTGTGGGTACCTGAGGTGAGGTAGAGGAGTAGGTCATGGGAAGTGACTAGGATGAAGGATGGAGTGATTAGGGTATTTGAGGGAGAGCTGATATGCGTACTGAAATCCCCTAGTATGAGGGCAGGAGCTAGGGAGAAGAGGAAAACTGTGAGCCAGATATCAAACTCATTGAGGAAGGAACGGGAGTGACCTGGAGGTCTGTAGACAATAGCTACCAGGATTTTGATTAGGTGGTAGAAGAGCATGTTCCTTAAAGGAGGAGAGGACTTTGATTGATGAAGGTAACTGGAAGTGTGGTAGGAACAAGGAGTATTCTAACTCCTCCTACCCCTGCCTTGACCAGTGAGCCAAGGGAAACAAGTGAAGGTGCAGTCAGTGCTGGAAAGGGTAGCCAGGGAGGCTGTGTCATCAGGGGAAACCAAGTTTTAGTAATAGCTAATAGGTGGAAGGAGTAGGAAGAGAAAAGATTTAGGATGAAGGGAAGTTTGTTGGCTGTGGAACAGGGGCATTCCGCAGGGAACAGTAGAAGGGCTGTGTGGAGCTTGGTTGAAACTTTAGGGGGGGTTGAAGGGGATAGGAATAAGAAATTGGGTAGTGGGGGGTAGGGAATGGGGTTTGGATGGTGACCTCCAGGGGCTAAGAATCACTGGGATATGAAGCGTATGACCAAGTAGGAGAATGTTCATTATTGAGTGGAAGGTGCCACTCTTTTTCCCAAAGGAGGTTGGAGATTAAAATGCAGTATGGGATGGCAGGCACAGGTTGGATGATCAAACAGGAAGTCCCACTTCACTACTCACTCCTTTTCCCTTCAAATGGTAGAGATTAGGCAGGAAAAGAGTGTAGCAGGAGATGGAAGGCCTGAGGTCAAAGGGAAGGTTGCTCCTTTTTGCATCAAAGGTTCTCCACATCCCAGTTGTTGGGGAATCAGGCTGGCAGGAGGAGCTGGAACTTGCCTTATTCTGGCACAGATGGAAATCATTGCTTTGGGACAGATGGGAGATGTTCTGCTCAGGCCTTTGCTGCCTTCCCTCAGGGGACACATTTTTGTTAGAGATAGAAGGCATAAGGCATGTGCTCAGAGGAGAGTTTGGCTCCTTTTAATTCATTGCCTCTGCAGCTACATGTAGTCTGGAGAATGTATGTATTTTATCTTCTTCCTTTTTTCATTATAGTTAGACCAGCTTTTATTTCTTTTTTCCCTCTTTTCTTCTCTCTTTCCTTCCTTCTTTCTTTTTTCTTCCTTCCTTCCTACCTCTTTCATTCTTCCTCTTTCCTTCCTTCCTCTTTCTTTCTTCTTTCTTTCCTTCTTTCTTTATTCCTCTCCTTCCTTCCTTCCTTCTTTCCCATTGCTCTGGACTTCATTGAGAGGCCTTTACAATGTTCTTGTTCTCTTTTACTCAGTCATCTCACTGAGAGAACTGCACTATTAAAAAGGAATTTTTCTTTGCTTTGGATTCTGTGCAGAACATTGCTTCCAACACCAGTAAATCCCTTAGATGAGTGTGAATCTCCTTGGTTTCACTTTGTTTTATGTTAGTACTCAGCAACTAAGCAAAGTGATTGTTATAGAGTCTTTTATAATTTTAACATACGCATGGGACATACTTTATTTCAGGAGAGCCTTTAACTTTTTTTTTTTTGTTCTCCCACGTCAAATGCAAAATCTATAAGCAATGAGAACAGAGAGATCATCCATTCTCTCAGCCTCTTCGTTATTTGTGCGACAATGAAATATGGGCTACTGTAGCAAATGCAAATATAATAGCAAATAACAAATCTTCCAAAACCTGCAGGTTTCCTTCTCAGGTTTTCATCAAGGATACCCTGGGTGCTTGCATAGACCATTCTCATAAAGATATTTTAGAAATGAAGAAGCAGGTATGTGAGTTGGGAGTTTCGTTGTCTTGTTGGTAGCTCTTTGGTTTTTGGTATAAGCATCATCTGCAATCTTTTCCTTTAAAAAAAATCTGTCCCCTTTTCAGATTTCTAGAAAATCTACCCTTGAGGGCCGTGGAAATTGTTTCTTAGCATTCTCTACTAAATATGAACACTAGTCAGCAAGTCTACCGTGTACAAAGAACTGGAGATGGTGCTGTGGGGCATATAGAAGAAATACAAGACTTGGGCAGTTCCCTCAAAGAGTTAACAATCTAGTTGGGGACAAATTACTTTAATTTTACTTTACTTTAACAATAAATGTTGATAAATAAATGCACACACTGACATACCAATGAAGGTCATAAACATTAAGGCAACACAGGACAGAGGAATTGTCAGTTGGTCAGTTGGGGGTATCATTTAGGGTGAGCTCCCTGGCAGAGGTGAATTTTGGGCCAGGATTTGCGGGAGATGAGGGAAGATAGCCAGGGACAGAAGCAGGGAGGGTGTTTCTGGGCAGAGAAAGGCGATTTACAAGGTCATGAAGGCAAAAATGAGTCAGTCATTACAGGATTTGAGTTAAGATTTGTGTGAGTTAGTGTATGTGGCATGGAATAACCAACAGATTGCTTTGAAAGCAAAGATACAGAAAGGACTGTTGGGTCAGAAAGATTCATGTTCACACCAAGACTACAGCAAGATAAAAGCTAATTCTAGTTTTGTGGCAGACACATGGACTCTCTATATTTGGCTATGTGGCCCTAATCTCCAAGAGCCACAGGGACTGTGGAAGATCAAAAGACCCTCCCTTAAAGAAGGAGAGACAGGGAGAAATTGAGGAATAGCCTCTGCTGAGAACCAGCAGTACCCTCTACAGAAAGATGTTTCAGAGCATAACCTGGGTCATAAGTGGACCACGAGTGGTCATTAAGGAGAACAGTTCCCTGAAAGGATGTCAAGAGCCTTTCCTTGACTACTTGTTGGCTCTGAGTAGAAAGGATTCCTGTTCGGTGCATGCCAGCTCAGCTGCTGATTACCCATGGGACCCTGGGCCATCCACTTTCACATTCTGAGTCTAATTTTTACTCTAAAAATGAGGAGGTTGGGCTAGACAGTTCCTGAGGCTCTTTCTGACTCTGAGATTCTGTGGTATGTCAGCAGTCAGGATCCCATCTCTCAACCAGGGCGCTGGCCACACCCCCTCCAACTGCTCTGCATGGAAGCTACTTGACTATGCCTTTAAACCCAAGTTGCTCTGGCTCTCATTGATTGGCCAATAAGAGGTCCCAGCCCAAGCCTCTCTTGCTCATTTTTTTGGTTGATAGCTAAGAGTGAGTGTAAATAGCGATTATTTCTGTTCTGGCCAGAAACTCTAAGAGTCTTTCCTTCCCAGACTGATTCTAGAATGAAGGACAGACCAACAATGTGTGTGTGCACACGCACATGAATTAAGCCACTGATAGGATTGAACTTTCCCTTCCTCATAACATATCAACCATAAACCATCAAACATAAAATGTACATTTTACTTGAACCTAGACTTGGGTTGTCCCATGCACAAGACAGCAACAACATCTGTTTGATGGATGCAAGATAGGCCATGCAGGGGACTAATGAGAGATGAGATTTAGATTTAGAGCTAGAAGGGATCGTCCCATTTTACAGCTGGGGAAACTGAGTCTTAGAGAGGGTGACTTATCCAGGATTCCATAGGCAAAAGTGGCAAAGCAGGGATTCAAACACAGGTCAAACACTAGACTGATTTGACATGACAATCAGATTAAAATTAGTGTGATAGGGAAGAAAGTGGCACTAGAGATTCCTGAGCAGAAAAGTGAGGTGATTTTTTTTTAAGGAGCATTGAAGATAATTCCTCAAGCAAAGAAGAACACAGGGAAATCCTAACTCACCAGCAGAAATATTGGGCTGATTGCTACCCAACAGATCCTCCAAAACCAACCGGGGCTGAAACCAACCATTTCTTTCACGTCACTGCAGAACTGGTTGATACCTACAGGCAGAAAAAGTCAGGTTACACAGATTTTTTAGTCCCTGTTCCTCAATACTCTCAGGGTCACACTGAACCAGAGTCTCAATAGGATATGAAAAGAGCATGTGTATGTGTGTTTCCCGTGGGTCTTAGGAGCAGGCTACGACAGCCTGCTGGTCCCGGTTTCTGTGGCCCTGAGTGTAAAGTTGGTTGTGGATTGTTAGGCACTGATGTGATGGACTCATCTCTGTAGTTATCTGCTTAGAGAAAGATTGAATTTGATCAGGTCTGTTGAAAATTTTCAAGGAATACCTTGTATTGAAGTTGCCTTTCTATACCCCAATTCTAAACATCTTATTCTGCAGAAAGTAATGAGACACAACTCAGTGCCCATGTTATGTTTGGTTTCATGACCCATTTGGCGTTTTCTTGGTAGGGATACTGGAGTGGTTTGCCATTTCCTTCTCCAGCTCATTTTACAGAAGAGGAAACTGAGGCAATCTGAGTTAAGTGACTTGCCCAGGGTCACACAGCCAGTAAGTATCTGAGGCCAGATTTGAACTCATGAAGTTGAGTCTTCCTGACTCCAGGCCCAGCACTCTGTGCAGTATGGAGCCACCTAGCTGCCCTCTCAGTGCCCATAGGAGAGCTTACTGAGGTGAAGGTGTGAGAAATCACTGTGGCTGAGCTGGCCTGTTGTGTTTTTAAGGTGCCCCTAGCATTCTGTATGTCGTAGGGGAAAGGCAAATCCACGGTCCCTGTCGTCCAAGAAATCACATTCTAATGGGGCAGACAACCTACAGTATAGATGGGCAGTAATCTCAGACGGAATGGATTAAATGGATTATATATTTACATGTGTGTATGTGTGTGGATATATGTGTGCAGTTCCCTTCCAACTGAGCTCTGTATGGAATGAAGATCCGTGCTATGTGGCCTGAGCTTCTCTCCCAGGCAGACTTTAAATTCACAAGAAAAGGACCATCCCAGGACCACTAGCAATCTGTTACAAATGCCGGCCAGGAAGAAGGGATCCTGTTTTCTAAGAAAGCGGTCAGTTAAGATACCTTCTCTGGATGCATGAGTAGGAGGTGGATCTCTGGATCCCATCTGTGGCTCCTTTTGTGACAGCACAGCCCTCCCTGCTCTACTCAGTAGGACCCACAACCGGCCCCAAGAATACTTTTACCATAGAACCAAGACACGGCGATTGCTTCTAACAGCACCACTGTGAGAACCGCTGGTCCGGTGGCGTATTCCTCCAGCAACTTCACCACATAGGCGCCCCCCTGGAAACAAAAGAGGAGATCTGGGAATTAGGGGCCGTTATTAATACTCATCACTGCTCCTCATACTCAGTAATTAAAGGGTTTATGAAAGTTTCTTTCCCTGGAGAAATTCTGACTCCTCAATTGAGGCATTAATTTTAGTATCCAGAGGTCTTCATAACATTATCATCATCATCATCATCATTACCATTTATATATTACTTTAGGATTTGCAAAGCAATTTGCATGTCTTATCAAGGATTCTTTTATTCTGTGTATTTATTTCTGTGTGTTTTTATTCTGAGTATTTCTAGTCGCTAGCACCATGCCAGGCATAGAGTAGATTTTTGGTAAATGTTCGTTGATTGACTATTGCACTTGATCCTCACAACTACCCTAGGGAGTAGACAATACAGCTATTATCCCCATTTTATAGATGAGGAAACTAAGTCTGGGAAAGGTTAAGTGACCCTTTCACAGTCACACAGCTAGGAAATGTCAGAGGTGGGATTTGAACCCAGTTCTCTGCCAACTCCAGGTTCAGCTCTCTCTCCAGTTACACCATGGTATCCTTCCCATAGTGATGCCTCTACTTCTTTTGTGTGGGCTTCATTCCATATGTCAACCTTCTTCACTTCTTGTCTTTCTCTCCCTTAGGAGTCCAGTTTAAATTAGCTGCTGGTGATGCCTTTGGAAAGTATTTTTTGAGTACCACTTAATGTACTTAACCTTATAGGTACTTATCCTGTAAAGAATGGGACCAGAGGGACCCATGTGATCAGACACATCCGACCCCGTGTCCATCATTCCCAAGACTGGCATCTGCTCCTTTGTGACCTCCTCCGTACCTCCTTCCCAGGGTGGGTTATGAGGATCAAATGAGATGCTATTTGTAAAGGGCTTCGTGTGGTGTCTGGCACATAGTAGGTGCTTAATAAATGCTCAATCCCTTCCCTCTATACTCCTCAATAACACTGTGTTGAGTACTTTTATAGCTAGAAGATTTTGGTTTGCAAATAGGAGTCAGGATGGAAAAAATAAAGAGAAAGATTTGTGATTTTGGTAGACACCTTTTGATTTCATTCAAAACACAAGATTAGTAGTAAAAGGACCTGAGTTCAAATCCCACTGTGACACTTCCTGCCTCTGTGACCTTGGGTAAGCTACTTCCCCATCTCAGCCTCATTTTCCTCATTTAATAAATGTGGGAGTTGAACTAATTGGCTTCCAAGGTGCCTTCCAGATCGAGGCTGAGTAGCTGATGATCCCCGTGGTATCTACCTCCTGGCTTCTCTGGGTAAATGGGGATCTTCAGATGGACCACATATTAAGGTCTGGAACAGGCCTTCAAAGTTATCAATTTTTACAGGTGAGGAAACTGAGGCCCAGAGAGGTTATCTGACTCCATGCTGCCTCCCAGTATGAAAGATTGTCTCAGGAGAAGAAAAAATGACTCTGTCACAGACTAGAGCTTCCTGCCATCCAGATAGTCTGTGCATTGGGAAAACATTAATATATAATTAATATAGTAAAGTGGGAAATAGATTGGAAACTTTTTAAAGGGCACCAGCCCTCTTATGTCCTAAGGTAAAAGGATCGTGTCAGTCAGAGTAAAATGAGGAAGGACTTTGTGAAAAGGTCAGAGTAAATCAGCCTCTGAGAGCCTTCCTAAGAGTCAAGAGTCCTTGACTTCCGGCACAGTTGCCCGTCAAGGTGCCAACATGCATGTGTTAAAAATGGCTTCTCTTTAAGGGATTATTACCACTTGGTTTTCCTTGGGCGCTCAGATGGTGAGGGTCTGATCTGGGTTTACTCTGGGGCCTGCCCAGGAGAGACTCAAAGTCAAGGACAGTCAATACTCACAAAAGTCAAGGTGGACAGAGATCCAAAAAAACAGGTAATGACCACAGCAAGCACAAACCACTCCCGGCGTTTGGCCCAGAAGTGTGGGAATTCATCCAGCACCGCAGTGATCACGCCCTCAAGTCCTGCAAACTGAGAAGTGCATTTGGAGAGATGAGTCCTCATCCCCCTGGGTTCCCTGCCCAGAGAGGTCAGCAGGGTAACCGTTTTGGCCCCTTGAGGCTTGAGAACTTCTGGCATGGGAATAACCGTTTGGGCACTGGGGTCACGGGAGACAGGCCATGGCACTGTCAGGATCAGGCTGGGGAAGGTGAGAAGTTGGGTGATTGGTGGAGAAAAGAAGCCATGCTGGGCCACAGCAACTGGCTCTCCTGTGAATAAACATTTGGAAACAACGTCCCCTCCATGATTAAGAATCCATCACGTGACCATGTTTGGCTCCAAAGAAGAGAAATTACATACATACATACATTCACTCCTACATACATGTATATATGCATACATACACATGATTACACATATATACATTATACAGGTATGTATATATACACACATAATATGTTATAGGTGTGTGCATATACTATATGTTTATATACATAGCTATGCATGCATATGTATGTGTATATATATCCACATACATATGTATATGTGTGTGTATACACACAGAGATATATATTACCTCTGCAAAGAAAGAGCGTGGATATGGAGACTTATAAAATTTGTTGGTTTTGCCAAACTTTTAAAAAATTCCTTCTTTAATGCTTTGTATGAAAAGGATGGCTCTTTGGGAGGGGAATGGAGGAGGGATAGATTAGAAAAGAGTAGGTGATATAAAAAAGATCTTTAAAAAGAATCAACAAAAGAATCCATCACCTGAAGACATCTAGAAAAAGAAAAAGAAAAAGAAAAAGAAAAAACAAAAAACACTGAGGAGACTCCCAGGCATTGCTAAGCCCTCAAAGGTTTTATTCAGGCTTCTGGCAAAGGGTCTCTGAATAAATGTCTGCCCCCACCCTCACCCACCCCCACCAAGGCCTTTTCCCCCACGACAATCCACTCACCGTGCTGTCTAAGCCCAGAGTGATCATCATTATGAAGAAAATGATAGCAAAGAAGGTGGCGGCCGGCATGTTGGCGATGGCTTCTGCATATGTGATGAAAAGCAGGCTGGGCCCTGAGGTGAGTGGGTAGAGAAAAGGAGACAGTCATCAGGCCTCCTCTGCCATGGACACAGCTAGGTCTCCAGCTAATATGGAAGAAAGAGACTTGGAGCTTAAAAAAAATCAATGAGGGTTGAGAAGGCAATGGAGCGTGATGGAAGAGCCTTGGAGTCCAAGGAGATGGGTTCAAATCAAGTCGTTTTCCTTGCTTGGTCCTTTGCTCCCTCATCTGTAAAATGAGAGGGTCAGAGCAGATGACTTAAGACTGGATCCCTTCCAGCTTGGGGCCTATGAGCCCCATGGTGGGTGATAGACCCATTCTGTATGGCTGCTCCCTTAACACCCCCATTCAAAGCAGCTCAAAGCCTTCTCCCAGAAGGTGTCATTTGACCCTGAGATGTATAGACCCCTATGGAATGAACAGTATTCGATGGAGAGATCCAGGAGCAGAATAGTCTTCTTCACCCAACTCATTGGCAAGAATGTCACTGTGCTTTATCCTTTCTAATAAGCAGGTATTCTTAACCTTTTTTTGCATCATGGAGGCTTTTGCCAATGTGACCTCTTCTCAGATGTCTTGAAACCTTGGTGTCATCCCCTACACCTCACTCCCTCACCCCCACCCCCGTATCCAATCTGTTGCCAAGACCTGCTGATTTTACCTTCAAAACATCTCTTGCATAAGCCCCCTTCTCTCCTCTGACGCTTGCCCCACCTTGGTGCAGGCCTTCATCAACTCTTGCCTGGACTATTGCAGTAGCCTCCTTGGTGGAGGGAGAGGGGTTTCCCTGCCACAAGTCTATCCCCACTTCAGTCCATCCTCCACTCAGCTGTCAAAGTGATGTTCCTCAGGTGCATGTTCCACATCATCTTCCTGCTCAGTGACCTCCAATGGCTCCCTATCACTCCCAGGATCAGATATAAAACCCTCTGTGTGGTGTTCAAAGCCTTGCATAACTCGCTTCCTGCCAACTTTTCCAATCTTCTTACACCTCCCCTATTTCCTTCCACCTTCACATACCCCCACTGGCCTCCAGTGACACTGGCCTCCTCACTGTTCCTCAAACCAGACGTACCATCTCTAGACTTGGTGCATTTTTACTGACTGTCTCCCATGCCTGGAACTCTCTCTCTTCTTACCTCTACCTCCTGACTTCACTGGCCTCCTTCAAATCCCAGTTAAAATCCCACCCTATACAGGAAGCCTTTCCTCATCCTTAATTCTAGTGCCTTCCCCTTCTGAATTATCTCCAGTTCATCCTATCTATAGCTTGTCTGTACATGGTTGTTTGCATTTAGTCTCCCCCATGAAATAAAACTTCTTGAGACCAGGAATCACCTTTTATCTTTCTCTGTGTCCGCATCTCTTGTCACAGTGCTTAGCACATAGTAGGTTCTTCATAAATATTTGTTGACTGACACAAACACACTGCATTTTAAAAATCTATCCATAGGTTGACAAATCTTTATTGTCACCTCCTGTGTGCAGGGCTTAACCACATGCTAAGGAGACAAAAATATTCTTAAGACAGTCCCTGGAAGCAGGGAGGCTAGTTAGAAGGCTATTGTACTATTGTGCAAATAAGATGATGGAGGCTTAGAGTAGATGAGATGCAGTGTAAATAGAAGAGAAGGAAAAGGTTTAAGATGATAGAGAATGAAGTCCTAGGGAGGAGACATAGAAGACTGAGGTTCTAAGCTTGGGTGACTAGAAGAACGATGTCGCCATTGACAAAAAGAAAGAAATCAAGAAGGAGAACTGGTTTCACAGGGAAGATGATAAGATTAATTTGGAATGTGTTAAGTGAGAATGATGGTGGGACACTCAGGCAGCCATGTCAAGCAGGCTGTATTTTTATTTAAGAATCCAGAAGTTATTTATAGTATCATTGATCGAGAGTTGGAAGAAAACTCAGAGGCCATTATTTTAACCCCCATATTTTACACATGAGGAAATGGAGGTCTGGAGAGGAAATGACTTCTCCAAAGTCACACAGGGCTGGCATTTGAACCCAGGTCTTTAGACCTTTTAGATTAATCAAGAACACATGAGAGTAGGTAACATTTCCAAAGAAGGTGTTCTTCTAAAACTTTCAAAAGCTTAAAAAGAATACATCATTTGAAACACATATATACATAACCTATATAATATCATATATAATAGATTGTGTTATATATAATATTATATTAGATATCATATATTACATATGCTTTTCAAAAAGGGGCAAAAGAGCAAGCTAGCCTTCCCCCCCCTCCCCAGCCAGTCTCCCCTACTCTTAACCAAGTTGGCCCAAGTAAGGACTAAGTGAGGAAATAGAGTCTAGGCTTCTACCTGTATCTTTAGCCACTTCAGACACGTCTTCACTCCTCATCTCCGCCATATAACCAAGCACAGTGAAGATGACAAATCCAGACATGAAGCTTGTCATACAGTTTATGATGCTAGTCACCAGGGCATCTCTGAAAAAACCAGAATAGTTCTTAACCATGGGATTTAGGGCAGGAAGGGACCTTAGGGACATTTTAGACCAAGCCCATCATTTTACAGAGTCCCAGAGAGAGTGACTTGCCCAGGGTCACACAGCTTGTGGGGGGGGGTGGTGGTTAGAATCGAGTCTTCTAACTTCGAACACGAATACTCTTTCCTCTCTATTATCCTTCTTCCCAAGGATGTCTCTCTGTATTATTTGTAGGATCATAGATTAGAGCCAGAAAGAATCTGGGACCAGCCCACTAGTCCAGCCCACTCATTTTATAGATGAGGAAACTGAGTCTAGGGAAGGGAAGTGACTCATAAAGTGACACAAGAAGAAAGTTAGCTCCTCACCCAGAACTCCTTCTTACCCTCACATGTTTCCCTAGACAGACCTGTTCAAGTTTCTCTTAGCAAGAATGAGCAGATCGAGTTTTTAAAATTTAATAAAAAATATCATCAAAATTCTTGTATTCCCTGCCTTCCACTCTCCTATCTCCCAATCCAGATTGCCTCAGTTTGACCTGGCTTGCAAATTAACCACCACCATGTGTGGAGGAAAGGACAATGACTCACAGATTTTTGTGGAAACCAGTGATAGTTCTTATTAACGGAGAAAATAAAATATCAGAAGCTTTTCCATATGACTGTTCAGGGGTGTGAAATCAGAAATCTGGTGGCCAGCAGGAAAGGACCTAACTCATAGCATCATCCAGACCTCCTGCATATAAGCCCAGATTGCCCAAGGGCTGAGATGACCATTGGCACACACACGGACCATGTGTTGGGGTTGACAAACGGCTAACATTTAACTGGTGTGGCCAGCATGTTATCTCAGGAACCAGCTGCTGGTAAGGGCCTGTGATGGCCAGATTAAAGGGCAATAGTATTTAAGCAATGTACCAGACTGGGGCTTAGCACATGGGGTGGGGCAGTGATGATACTTGAGCACGCACTGATTTTTGTGGTCATTTGAAAAAAAAGTTTGATTATGATTGGACGACTTCTTATATAATGCCGTTAATGTCTCTGAGGTCAACTGGTTGTGAACGCTGTGAATGGGTGTGACTAGCCTGAATATTCCTGTAGGGCTGTCTGCATGAATTTTGTTATGTTGAGATTGCCCCGTAATGATAGATTCTTATAAAAATGTGACATTCTCCCTGCCCCTCTTTTCCATACAGGTCACCAGCTGGCTGATCCACAACTCCCCCATGAGAGTTCCAGTTGGTGGTTTTATCAGGTTGGCTGGCCTGATTCTGATTGCTAGCTCAGCCAGCCAGAGACAGAAGTAGAAGAAACACTGGGATAGGGACTCGATTGGGATTTTGGTATAGGCAACTTCCAGGTGAGGAAACTCCCTCTACTGATGTAGGTTGCCACCCTCTAAGGTAAATGGGGGGGGGGGCAGGAATTCTAGCTCTAAATGCCGGTAGAGGTACCCACTGTCATTGCCCAGGCCATGCTGTCCTGAAGGCATGAGTCCTTTCAGAAGCCTTCATCAACTTCATGCCCCCACAGAATGGTAAGATGCTTTTACAATGATAAAACAGCCAGCATTCCAAGATACTCACTGGTAACAGTTGTTATTGAATTTGTTATAGCTAGCATAAGCTAGTAAGACACCAAAGCCAGGACCCAACGAGAAGAAAATCTGAGCTGCAGCATCCACCCAGACCTGAAATACAACCAAGGGAAAGAACGGGTGAGACGAGAGACCAGGCTAGGGAGGCCAGCAGCGACGCGTGTCTTCACAAAGCTCGAATCTGATGAGACTGATGGAAGGTTGTCTTGGAAGCTTCCATAAAGGGAGCCTCAAATGTATCGAGTGAAGGCTGCTTGTGATAATTGTTCCTGACGTCCAGGTATACGTCAGGATGAATCACCTCAACTCTAGCTCTCAAGCTCACCTTTCCTGGAGCTTCAGACATCACTGCAGATCATTCCCCCTCCCAATTCCAGGCTCCCTAGCATTCACAACGCTGGCCCCTATGGACTTATTCAGAGGAAGTGGACCTGCCATCAATGAAATAACAGACTGGCAAGTAAAGTCCTCATTTTTTCCTCTCCTCCCTCTTTGCTTTTCTCATTATCTTACCCCAGTTTCAAGGAGCTTCTGCCAATTGGGTTTCAGGTAGAAAACGACACCTCTCCAGGCTCCTGGAAGTGTGGCCCCCCTTACAAGCAGGATGGACAGGATAATATAAGGGAAAGTAGCTGTCACCCACACCACCTGCAAGGGAGAAGAGAGTTAGAGAGAAGGCAGGACAACACCTCAGCCATCTCTTCCATCTTTAAAGAGTGGAGATTCTACCCCTTTGGTTTAGTAACATCAATGGGGTGTACGAAAATGGAAGTGATGGTTACTGAGCTTGAGATAATTCCTTGGTTTTAGATTTGCTGTGTGCAGTCTGAGCACTGTGGAATGCTTTTTAGTTTTAAGTAAATATTTCTATCTGTCCCCTGACTTTAGCTGTCCTTCGGTAGTAAGACCACTGGACTCAGGGTTTGAGGGTTCTCTGGGGCATCGTGCCCTTAACAAGAAATATATCACTAAGCAAAAAAGTGCTGTTGCCTTCCTTACCTTGCCAGATGATTTGACCCCTTTCCAGATGCTAAAGTAGACAATAGTGAAGATCGACATTGTGCAGAGGGCCAGTTGCCAGCTAATGCCCCCCACATCATCTAGTCCTTGAGACTGGTGAACCTGTAAGACATGGCGCCTGGAATGAGACAGAAAAACCCATTAGGGGAATAGGAGGAAATCATTTCATTCTGTGACATAAATATGTATGTATATATATATATATGTGTGTGTGTGTGTGTGTGTGTGTGTGTGTATGTGTGTGTGTATGTTATATACAGAGAAAGAGAGAGAGAGAGAAGGAAATGACAAACCACTCCAATATCTTTGCCAAGAAAACCCTAAATGGAGTCAAAAAGAGTTGGACACAACTGAAAATGACTGAATGATGAATATGCGTGTGTGTATGAATGTATGTATATATATAATTCTGAGGTTATTCCAAGAGGAAATAAAATGGGCATCTACCATGTCATGGTGCACTTAAAGGACTCAAGATTTGATTGGTCATCAAGCTTCCAGAGGAACACAGGTTGACTTTGCCTATGTTTCTCGGATGGAATAGCAGACTCAATTAACTATCACCTGGACAAAGAATAAAACTGACAGATGAACTTCTTGTCCTCTCTCTCTTTCCTTCTCAGCACCTGGTAGCTATACCCCAGGGCCAACTTCCTAGAAAGGTGTAATACTCAGTCACTGATGTGCTGTGACTTAAGGGGCACTGGGAAGCCCCACTGCCTCCCAGGAAAGCTCTTGCCCCTGAAATTCTACTCTTAAAGTATGTTACTTTTGGGTTAATATACTACCTCCCCTAGATACCTGGGGAAGGAATGACCCTTTAAGCTAAAAACAGCCATCTTCTTTGTATGAATTAGCTTATCACATTTTTTCAGACAGTAGAGAGAAAGGCAGAAAAGGAAATGGGAGTTTTGATGGAGGAAGAGAGGTTTGAAACAGAGAAGGACAAATTTGGTTAGGATGACAGGAGTTCTTCAGGCACACAGATGGAGGGACATTGGAGTGAGGGGAATGCTATTTCACAGCCTTGCCCCAGTCCAACCCTACTGCACCCATGCTCTCATCTCTATAAATACTTAGAGAGCTCAGTGAAGGAAGGGCAAAGAGCCCCTCTCTGCCTCCAAAGAACTCAAGTCTCAAGAAGGCGGCCTGTCCCCCAACAAATCACTTACATGCACTTACGTATAAAATTCTTCAGCAGGTGATGTGGAGTGGGAGGTCCAGGTGATGTTGTCTTCTGAGAAGTAGTTGGTACAATTGTCAGTGTTCCAGGAGTTCTTGCAGCTGGTCCAGGGCAGTTGACTCGTGAAGGAAGAGATGAGGTAGTACAGAGCCCAGGCCATGATGGTGTTATAGTAGGAGGCAATGTAAAAAGCGATGATGCAAATGGCGAAGCCAATCCCTAGGTGGTCAGAGAAAGGGGTCACGGGCAAGCCAATGCTTAAAGAGCAAGGATACTCAGAGTCAGCAAAGGCAACGAATGGCCGAGGGTGCTCCTCGTGCTCCTCGGAAATACTGAAAGACCAAGAGGGAGGCCTCCTGGGCATTGGTCAGCGCCATGTTGGGTGATTTCCAGAAAGACACAGACAAATATCTCATAAGGAGAGTAAGTATAGAGGAGTAGCTAGTGGAGGGAGTAAGTTAATAGAGAAAAGCACTTTGTAAACCTTCAGATGCCGCGTCAATATCGATTCAACCCAACAAACATTTATTCAGTGACTGCTATTGACAAGCCACTGTCCTGGACACAGGGGTTACAAAGGGAAAAGCAAAGAGTTTCAAAACATCAAGGACCTAAAATTCTTCTTCTAGCTCCTTATAATTCAAACTAATGAGATCCTAGAAATCCCAGGATTGCTGTAAGCAGTGGGACAGTCAAATGGGGCATTGGAGGCCTATCATAGCTCTGCAGACAGTTATGGTGAGAAGGGATGCCTACTTACTGCAAAACAGTCTCTTCTTCTAGCCTCAGCTTTTTTTCTCTATTACCACCCCACTAAGGGGGGGGAGGGGGAATCTCCATCCATTGCCCTAGGACCAGCGGTAACAATCCACTTACCTTTGAAAATGGGGCAAATTTTCTTCCATATTGAAATGCAGCCATTTCGATGATACTGGCCCAGAGCTAGCTCCATATAGAACAGAGGAATCCCACCAAAAATGGCCATGATGGTGTAGGGTATGAGGAAGGCCCCTGTAACCAAGGAGAAGGAGAAGGAATGTCATCTCTGACTTTGTCGCTTCACTGGTAATGAGTGAATTTTGCACTTTAGGAATTGGGAAGTCATGGATGCCTAATGGACTGCAGGCATCTAGTTAATGACATGGCCAGAATTTGAACCCAGGTCTGAAATGAATGGGTTAGAGTAGATAGCCTCCTAGGTGACTTCCAGTTCTAAAATTTTGAGTCCACATATCAGTGGATTTCAGACATGCTCCCACCCCCCCTTCCATAGCCCTGCAATGTTCAATATTTGACTATTTCCTGGTTTCCATTGCATCAGCCATGGGAATCACCCCTCAGCAGCAGTGTCTGTGTGTGTATAACCATATATATATATATAACATATGTGTGTGTATATATATAACCATATATACATATATGTGTGTATATATATAACCACATATATACATATATGTGTGTATATATATAACCATATATATGTGTGTGTGTGTGTGTGTGTGTGTGTGTGTGTATATGACTATATATATATACATATACATATGTGTATGTATGTATGTGTGTGTGTCCACAAGGACAGTACAACATAGACCCAGAGAGCAAGTGTTTGCTGGATTGGAAAGGGAATTATTCATAGCCACAGAGAGGCTTTACCTTTGCCCTCAGTTTGATAGGGAGGGCTGGGCCAGTGGTGATTTTTCTGAATGGCTTTCTCTTTCATTGAAAAAAAGACATTGATCCTTTCAGAGGAAGAGGGTGATAGGAACTTAAGATTATTCTTTTTGAGAATCTGGCATAAGAATAAATAAGGAGAATTACCCTGTATTTCCACAGCATCTTTCCTCAATGGAATGAGCATCAGGGAAAAACTACAAGACACCCACCCCCTTATATCAAAACTCCAGGCCAAAGATAAACCTCCTCTGGGACAAAGAGAAGTTGTCTTTCCTCCCAAGTGAGTAAGTCTCGATTCTTCCTAAACTGCCACACACATCTTTCTATATGGCAGGTGAAGTGTTTCTAGCAAAATCCAGGAAATAGTCAACGTCACCAAGAGGCTCATGGGAGAGAGATGAGGAGGCAGGGTAGATCCAGGTGGGATTTGAACCCGGGTCTCCTGAATCCCATTCCATAGCTCCCCTGCTCTAGAATCTTCAGTTGTTCCCTATTGCCTATAGGATGAAATGCAACCTCATTGCAGATGCCCTCTAAGCCTCATTTCTGACCTCCTTCTGACCCTGAGCCATCAACAGAGCTCTGGAAAAGGAGGAAAACAAACTGATGGCTTTTGTCTCTTGACTCTTCTCAGTCACATATGGTGGGAAGAACACGGACAACTAAACATTCACTTCTGTCCAGCCACAGGGTCCATTTTATTCTAGTGCAGACTTGGGGGGGTCTAGTTGTTCATTCAACAAACATTAAGCACCTACTATGTGCAGGGCACTGTGTTAGGTGCTGGAGTGACGGTAAAATGTGCAGGGCATAGTTTCTGCCTTTAAGGAGCTCACATGGTCTAGTGCCTTAACTCTGAGATTATCTCCAGTTTATCTGGACATATCTTGTTTTCACACAGTTGCTTTCATAATATCTCCCCTATTAGACTCTGGACAACCTGAGAGCAGGGACTATCTTTTGCCTTCCTTTTCATCCCTAGCCCTCAAAACAGTGCCTGGCACAAAGTAGATGCTTATTAAATGCCTCTTGCCTTGACTTGAAAGGACTGGCTACAGCCGGTGTTGGCTTCAGATTTAGCTCAATCCTGGCAGCTCCCTATTCTGGAGGATTCCCAAGGAAACTATCAAACTAATCTTGGGACTTGCTTTAAACTTTTGTTCAAACACACGCTCTCTTAAGTGATCTAGCCTTTAGCAGAATTAACAAACAGATCAGAAAGTTGGAGTTTTAATTCCCAGTTGAAATATCAATGTAGTACTGATGGAAAGGTCCTGAGTTCAAATCACAGCACCATCAATTGCTAGATGTGTACTATTGAGTAACCTTTAGCTCTTGGAGTCTCAGTTTTTCTGTCTGTAAAATGGAAACCCTGCACTGCCTACTTTACAAGGTTGTTGTGAGCAAGCATTTAATAATATATGATATAAATGTATGCCACGTTATCCCTGGACCCTCATTCACTTTTTAAGACATTTTAGATAATCCCAACAAGAGAGGTCCTAATACAGAAAAGACGCAGCTTCACCAGAAGCCTCATGTACATAATTCTATGCATTACCCCCTCCCAGTACTGACCTCCTCCATTTTGGTAGCATATATATGGGAAGCGCCACACATTGCCAAGGTCCACAGCGTAGCCAATGACCGAGAGGAGGAAGTCCATCTTTTTGGTCCAGGTCTCTCGTTCCCCTTGGTGTCCTTCGGTGCCTATGGTGGTGTTGTCTGCTGGGATGGAGTTGCGGGTGTCCCCTTCCACACCTGTACTCTGAACAGCCGAGTACCCATTTGAGATGTGTCTCGCTTCCTCCTTGTTCCCCGGGCCAGTGAGTCCCTTCTGCAGAATGCCATTTTCCTGGCAGTCTTCTCCATCCTTGCAGGCTGACTGCTCTTTCTTAGAATTCAGAAGGGTGGTCTCCATCCTGGTGTTTAGCAGATGGTGCTTATGTCCATTTGTAGCCAATTGGAATAAGAGCCCCTTCCCCAGCTCTTGGATGTCCTCACAACTTTACAGCAACTAGGCTACAGGTCCTGTTTCGAGAACATACAGAAAGAGGAGAAAAGATTAGGTGCAGATGTCTTTGGGAAGAGGGGCAACGGAGAAGTGAAATTAACACCAGAGGACAAGTCACATACTCAATGGGAAGCCTCGGAGAAATATCCTGGCTTGTCATATAGGGATAAAATAAGATCTGCCATTTTCAACCAAATGTGGAATTCCAAATCTTAATCTTAAAATTTCAAAATTTCTTTTTTCTTAAGTTTTTAGGCCAATCTAATACAGTAAATCTCTGGGATTTGGAAGCCCTCTCTGTAGAATGGCAGAACTTTTAGTTTCTGACTGAAACTAGAGTTCTCACCCTCTAGAAGTTTATTGATTGAGGAATGGGAATCAGCAAGAGGAGAGATGAGATGTATTTAAGTTTTTTTAAAAAGTGGGGGGAGCTCAGACAGTTGTTTCAATCAGTAACCTCAGCCACTTTAGATGTCTTTCCTTTCTCCCTTAATGAAGTGAATTTGATGGAAGGGGTCTTTCCACATAAGATAAAGAAGAGAGGCCAAAGGACCATGTGATGAAGGGATGGCAATGAGAGGGCTGGAATAAGAAGACAGCTTAAAATGGAGAGTTTATCAGCAGTAACCGAGGTTTACAGAGCACTTGAATGTCTGCAAGTGCTTTGTAGACCATCTTATTTCAGCCTCATGGTAGTCCTGGGATAGAGGTATTACGAGGATTATTAACCTTGTTTTTATAGGTGGGAAAACTGTGTTTCAAAGAGGTGAAATGTTTATTGAATTGAATGGAAATGACTCACCCAGGGTCACTCCAGCTAGGAAGTGCCAGAGATAGGATGTAAACCAAGTTTCTCCAAGTCTGGTACACGGTAGAGAACAGTACTGAGTTAGGGTAAAATCATATTTTTGTGCCCTATGGATAATAAATTAATATGGATAATTAATTAGGGCAGCTAGTTGGTGCAGTAGATCAAGTGCTGGACCTGGAGTTAGGAAGACTCATCTTCCTGAGTTCAAATCTGGCCTCAGACACTTACTAGCTGTGTGACCCTGGGCAAGTCACTTAACCCTGCTTGTCTCAGTTTCCTCATCTGTAAAATGAGCTGCAGAAGGAAAGGACAAACTACTCCAGGATCTTTGTCAAGAAAACCCCAAATGTAGTCATGAAGCATTGGACATGACTCAACAACAAAATGGATAATAAATATAACATAGCAAAAGGTAGAGTTGAAAAAGTCATGCTCTATTTAGACCTTTGTGATCTACATTGTATGAGATTAGAAACAGAGGAATCATAGCAGGCACCCAAGCTAACAGCCATTGGCTCTGGAGTCAGGAGGCCCTGGGTTCAAATCCTGCCTCTAAGAGTTACTACCTTTGTGGCTCTGGACAAGTCAATTCACTGACTTTGGGTCTTTGAGATCCCTTCTTGATCTAAGATTCCTTCCATTTTACAGATGAGAAAATTGAAGGTTAGAGAAGTTAACATAAACTTTTCTCTGATGTCATGGTCACCTACTAGAACAAAGAACAAACCATACTTCTCTATCCTTTACTTAGTCATGCTCTTGAAAAGCTTTCAGATAAACCCAGTGGTGGCATTTGACACCTTTCTGGCTGACTTTCACTTTACTCCAGTTTACAGTATCCCTGTTATACTGTGGAAAGCCATCACTACCTTCAACCCCACTGCTACTGTCTGCTCCCTCCTCTTAAGTCCATAACCCTCCCTGAAGGACTTCTGGAGCCAACACCCTTGAAAGTAGAGTTGGGGGCACCCAGCACAGTGCCATTTTCACCTATTAAGGGTGCATCTAGGAGAGTCAATAGTGACAGTTTCCAATTTTCCTGTGAGGTTGCCAAAACCAGGCATGGATGGAGTTCTCAAGCCCATGCATTTTTCCCAGGAGGGCTGGGCAAGCCCTGCAGCCTGCATTCCTGTCTCTACTATGAAGCAGGGTGGAGTCAAAGACAGGGCTGATTCTGGGTTGCAGGGACGTTTGAGACATCAACCATGAGGGAGAGAGAGAGAGAGAAACCTGAACCCTCTTGAACTTTAGACTTGTGGCTTATTATAAACCAGCAGGCAGCCAAGGACTTTCAGCTGATCTGATTTCTTTGGGGGCTAAGTTTTTAAAATTCTCTGTGGTGTATCTGGGCCAGCACGCATCAGCTTTGTTGAGATTGCATTATACATTTCAAGGAAAACATACTCTAATGTGGATGGTTGCCTAGAATACCAGTTATGACAGTAGATAGAGGAACCTCTCTTGGATGGGTGGGACAGGGAGGGAGGTATGCAGGAGCTCACGTTATATGATGACTTGGAAACCTTAAAGTCATAGCTAGCTGTCTGGCTCTGTGCATAGAGTTCAACAGCTGTAGATGGAATCAGACAGCACATCTGAGCTGGGTTAGAGGTCTGAAGGCAGAATGGGGTAGACAACATGATTTTTGAAAGCCCCTTTCAATTCAGAAACTAACAATAATAGCCTGTTTTTTATAATGCTTAGAACAGGGATTCTTTTTTTGTAGTTAGGCATAGGGTTTTTTCATTCTATTTTTTATATTTTAATTTTTTGCCTTTCAATGCCTTCATTTTTTCTGAATTTATTTAATATTTTATTTTCCCCCAGTTACATGTAAAAATAATTTTTAACATTCGTTTTTAAAACTTTGAGTTCCAAATTATCTCCCTTCCTCCCTCCCCAACCCCACCCCACATTGAGAAGGCAAGCAATTCCATATAGGTTATACATATGTAATCATGTAAAACATTTCCATTAGTCATGTTGTGAAAGAAAACATAGACCCTCCCCCCTAAAAAAACTCAAGAAAAATAAAGGAAATAAAAAAGTATGCTTCAGTCTGTATTCAAGTACCATCAGTTCTTTCTCTGGGGATGGATATCATTTTTCATCACAGGTCCTTCAGAGTTGTCTTGCATCATTGTATCATTGAGAATGGCTAAGTCATTCACAGCTGATCATCTTACCATCTTACTGTTACTTTGTACACAGTACATTTTCACTTTGCATCAGCTCATGTAAGTCTTTCCAGGTTTTTCTGAGAGCATCTTGCTCCTTATTTCTTATAGCATAATAGCATTCCATCATAATCACATACTACTGTTTATTCAGCCATTCCCAACTGATGGGCATCCCCTCAATTTCCAATTCTTTGCCACCAGAAAAGAGCTGCTATAAATATTTTTGCACATATAGGTCTTTTTCCTTTTTGGTTTTTAATGTCTTTTGGGATACAGATCTAGTAGTGGTATTGCTATGTCAAAGGGTTTACATTGTTTTATAGCCCTCTGGGCATAGTTCCAAATTGTAGAACGGTGATTCTTTTTTTATTTTCTTTCTTTGTGAGGCAATCGGGGTTAAGTGACTTGCCTAGGGTCACACAACTAGTAAGTGTCAAGTGTCTGAGGCCAGATTTGAATTCAGTTCCTCCTGGCTCCAAGGCTGGAGCTATATTCACTGTGCTACCTAGCTGCCCCTAGAGCAGGGATTCTTAACAAGGGGTCCATGGATAGATTTCTCAGGGCACTGTGAACTTGTATGGGAAAAAAAATTACATCTTTATTTTCCCTAACCTCTAACTGAAATTTTACATTTCCTTCGATTATTTAAAAACATTCTAAAAAGTCAGTAGGTTTCATCAGACTACCATGGCTGCAGGAAAAATGACAAAACAACAAACAAAAAAACACCCTGAGTTAAAGGTTTTACAAACTGTGTTCACCATCTCCATTTTACAGACAAAAAAACTCAAGCCAGAGAAGTTTATGTGACTTATTCACAGTCCCACTGCTTCTGAAGCAAAACTTGGGCTTTAACCCAACTTAAAAAAAAAAAGAAGGGGAAAAACAATTTAGTAAAGCTAACCAACAGATTGAAAAAGCCTGACAACATGTACAGAGTTCCACACCCATACCCTTCACCCCCCTCTGCCAAGAAGGGAGGGAGGCACCTTCTCCTATCTCTTCTCTGGGGCTAAGGTTGGCCATAATTTCCACAGCATTCAGCTTTGTTTGTTCTATTACCCTTTCACTTCTAGTCCCCTTTTTCATTTGTGAGCTCATTTAAAGACCTTCTACATCTAAGGCATATGTATTTCTTAGGGAGCCTCTAGACAAATCACTTAACCTCTCCAGCTCTCAGACCATCTCCTAAGACAACGTGATGCTGATTTCATTTCTTTATGAACAGAGGAGAGGGACGAAAGGACAACATTTCATATTTTTAGCTGCTAGGGATGTTTTTACTGCCTACTTGCAGTCCAAGTTAAAGTTACAGTATGAGCCACAGCTAATTGGCATTTTGTTCATTTTGTTTTATAATTGAGCCTGAATCTAGTATCACTTTCTCTCTTAGTGTCGTTGGAGCTACTAAGTCGCATTGCCTGTCCATGACCTATGTCAAGGATATGCCTCTACATTGAATGACTAACATTTCAGCTGAGATATCAAATGCCACAGTCAAATACTAGAGCGGCGTCAGCACAACCACTAATGGTCTGTGTAGGTCCCTGATTCTATTTTTGTCACCTGATTTAAGTCCAATCCAGCTGAGGTGGCCACGCAAGCCTTGTTGCCCCCTCCCCTGGTCCTCACTTTCCCTAACCCTAAGCCTCTGTATAAAGTTTCCTATGAAAACCAGACCCCTTCCATTTACTTAGTGCTTTCTCCCCTTCTCCTTCAAATGACAGCTCAAGGCCCATCTGCAATAAACTGGCCCAACCCGTCATCTCCCTGCCAACGCAATCAGCAGGATTGTAACAGGAGATAAATACAGCATAAATAAATAGTCAACAAAACCAGGGAGGCAGGCCAGGAGACATCCTGGGAAAGGGTTTCCCTTTAGAACCTTGAAACTCCCCACAACTTTGAACCTTCGTTATTACACTTTCACATTGGCCTTTGTACTATGACTACAAAGTGTTTCACGTTGCCTCATTTGATTCTCAAACCAATCCCCTGCAAGTATTAGTATCCCCATTTCATAGAT